TTATTGTACTAGGTAAACATGTTCTAAATTTTTCACCAACTATAATCCTTATGATATAGATATACATTATGCAAAAACTCAATTTTGGCCAGGAGTTCTCAGACCCCTATATTACTGGTGGACATCTCATATGTTTTCTGACTTAAGGAATTTTTAAATATATTATTGTCCAAGTTAGACCAAGTTTGACTTATCAAGTGTCCAGCTTATTAAGTTTACCTATGTATTATGGATACTTACAACTTGATACATGGCATTGAAACTGCAACTGATGGTGATGAGCATACCCTCAAACTTGCTTGAAAAAAGAGAACAAGCCTTCTAGACCCAAGCATATTAAAAAGAGGTACTAACTCAGTAGCCTATAATTGATACTGCAAGTTTGACAAAAATTATCAATGAATTGCTTATGGAATAAATAATTGGCTCGTTTGGATTATTGCAAAGCAAAGGCTCTTTCTTATGTACAAATGTACAACTTGTACAGAAAACTTCCAAGTTAGCACATTTTTACCAACACAAGATTTTGGTGACTCTATGGATATTGACCTTGTGAAGATTGAGAATGCCAAGTATTTAACTGATATAGAGAGACATGTAGAGGGATTGCCATTCCCAGTTCTTCTAGATTCATGTTCTCTAATATTTCTTGTATGCCTGAGGATATTTATAAAGAGTTTGGACTAGTGCTTGATTAAAGTAAAATCCAATAAGCAAGCATATAGTGTAACAAAGGAGTTGCTGATCTCTTCATAAATTCTGTGCATTTATTGGTTGGGAAGAAATTTCTCTAATCATAATTATATTACCTTTTTTAGTAAAGATATTCACAATTCCAAATCTTCAACAAAAAAATTTCAGCACATATGAGGCCTCATGTTTTTGTTACTAACCTATCTATCTATATAGTGTTTGAGGTCCTATAGTAAACGTATTCCGCATATTAAACTACGACTCAACTTATTTGGGATTAGAGCTTGGATCTGGATATCCCATATAATATCCTGTCCGTTTTAATTATTGCAATCTAGATATCCTCTTGCTACTATTTTCAAAAATCTCATTCAGCTATCCCATCCATTTTAAAAATCTTAATCCAAGTATCCATTTAAATGATAGATATATAAATTCAATTTATCAAGATAAATTAAACATATATTTTATAATAAAGTCATCTTTTAGTATTAATAAAATGTAAACTATTATGGTGGACATTTGAATTGTTACGCGAATCTTTTGATAACAAACGAATTGTTCTTATAAAGAATTCAGTTAATAAAAGATTATCATTTTGAGATGTTCTGGCACGTCAAGGGTGAAAATTATTAGCTGAAGAGTTGTTAATAAGCAACATGCGCACTGAACATAAGTGTAACAGATGGCTATTGTAAAAAAAAACCCCCAATTGAAATAATTTAGTTACACGACTCAAATATCCATGCTATACTAATATCATGTTGCGGATATCCGGGATATCTTTCACAATTGATTATCGAAATCAAAAAATTTGATTTTTATAATTAGAATTTTAAAACGATAATTAAAATACAACAATTATTAGTGAATTTTTTTTTCCGTTTCAAAGAACAATAGACCATTAATTAGTGTTTTGGAACAATATGATCGTAGGACACAAATCTTTATTTATTTTTCTGAAACTGTGCTAGTACCAGTTAAATTTGATCTATGAAAATATGAAAGGGATTTTCGGAAGGAAACAGGAATTCTTTTGAATTAATAAAGAATTCTACTCTTAAATAGTTGTAAATTATCATATTATATTCATTGTATAATTTTATCTAGTAAGCCTTCTTACTACAAACCTTTACCGCAGCATTAGAAAACCATCTTTCAGAAAGAACAAATGATAAAATTGTTGTTGTTGTTGTGGTGGTGGTGGTGGCAGAACTTGTAGACGAGGATATGGATAATGTCGATATTGAATTATTGTTGTAATTATGGTTTTAATGAAAACTAATCAGATTATACAAAAATTTTTCGATTAACTGACTCGCAAAAAAATAAAATAAAATAGATTGACTCTATTTGTGTGATTTAAATTAGTTCGACAATGTTTTAAAATCTAATAGGCTCAAGGTCAGACTGGTTTATAGTGTTGGACATCTTGTTTATTATGAAAACATACATTTATTTATTGGATAGGTGAAACAATAATACAAAATGCGGATGATTTATCTTATCTTACTATCTTTTGATTATTATTATAAGATATTTAAACACTAGGCATTTATATGATCGTCTGCGTGTTTGACCCATATCTAATGTTGTGCAAACCGTGTGAATTTGAATTTATAATTATTTGAAATTTCGAGGTCGTTTTGGACACGAAACTCCGATTGGCTAATTTAAATTTCACGCACGTTTTTAAAAATACAGCGGGTGCGTGATTTGATGCGATAAATGCACAAAATAAAATTATATGATTATATGTTATATCATATCTAAATTTAGACAAACAATTATTGTTCGAGTTTTACACAAACAATTTATGTAGTAGACTTTCCCAAACGTCACAATACTTTAATATATAATAATAATTGTTAAAATCGTTAGATTATTGTGTGTATAAATTAAATTGATAAGCATATTATTAATATGCATGCATGATGGAAACAAAGAATGTCGATTCTTAGAAGATTAATATAAGAATATTAATTTTGTAAAGAGATTAATTAGTAATATAATTTATAAATACCAGATCTTTAAATTTTTTAAAATAAAAATCTATATATGTAAACATATATACCCATATATATGTTCATTATAAAAATCTATTAAGAAAAAAATTTTTTTTTAAAAAGAAATATTTTAATTCTGTTCATGTGTGTAACTTTCCAAATATATTACATAAATTGCCATGCGATTTTCTTTCCACATCTTCGGACTTTAATTTATTTATGTAAAAATGGTTCGTCCTTATTTAGAGTTTGAAAAAGCTTAAATAAAGCTTAAATAAATCAGTTTAAAAAAGAATCCAGAGATTTTTTTACCTTAACCAAAAATATTTTAAAAAAAAATTTTTTTTATCTTTTCAAGTTTATTTTTTAAAAACTAATTTAATTTTAATTAATTATTTTAATTATTTTTAATAAATATATATTTTTTAATATATATAATTAAAACTCAAATAAAAAATAATTTCCTAAAAAGATATATATTAAAGAAAAAAAACGCGTTTATTTGTAAAAATAATAAATAATGGGTTGTATTTGTAGTAAAGCTGATGGTGATAATAATGATAATGATGATAATAATAATAATAATAATAATAATAATAAAAATTAATAATAATAATGCTTATCTTTTAGGGTTTGAAAGTGGACGAAAATATTGCAAGAACACGTAAAACTATTCCAGGTGTTGGTTTGATATCACCACCACCTCATCATGATATTTATTCAATTGAAGATTTAAAACAATTAATTTATGATTTGAAATGTTCAAATCCTCGTGCTAGAGTTTCTGTTAAATTGGTATCTGAAGTTGGTGTTGGTATTGTAGCTTCTGGTGTTGCAAAAGCTAAAGCTGATCATATTTTGATTTCTGGTCATGATGGTGGTACAGGTGCTTCGAAATGGACAAGTATAAAGTATGCAGGTTTACCATGGGAATTAGGTCTTGCAGAAACTCATCAAACTTTAGTCTTGAATGATCTTCGTGGTCGTGTAGTTGTTCAAACAGATGGTCAAATCAAAACAGGTCGTGATGTGGCAATTGCATGTTTGTTAGGTGCTGAAGAATGGGGTTTTGCTACTACTCCATTAATTGTTATGGGTTGTATAATGATGAGAAAATGTCATTTGAACACATGTCCAGTTGGTATTGCAACACAAGATCAAGAATTAAGAAAGAAATTTGAAGGTCAACCTGAGCATGTAATAAATTTCTTTTATTTTGTTGCTGAAGAATGTCGTCAAGTCATGGCAAAACTTGGTTTCCGTACAATAAATGAAATGGTCGGACGTACAGATAAATTGAAGATGAATGATTCAATTAAAAATCCAAAAACTGAAAATATTGATTTAACTCCAATCTTAACACCAGCTTATACACTAAAACCTGGTGTGGCAACTTACAATGTGCGGAAACAAGACCATAAACTTTATGTTCGTCTGGACAATAAACTAATTGACGAGGCAGAACCTGCAATAAGTAAAAAGCAACGTGTGAACATTGATTGTAAACTAGTTAATACTGACCGTGCTCTTGGAACTACATTATCTCATAATATTTCAAAATACCATGGCGAAGCTGGTTTACCAGATGATACGATTCATGTTAAACTCGATGGTTCTGCAGGGCAATCATTTGGTGCATTCTTGGCTCCTGGTGTCACATTGGAATTGGAAGGTGATGCGAATGATTATGTCGGTAAAGGTTTATCTGGTGGAAGAGTAGTTGTTTATCCACCAAAAGTTTCAAAATTCAAGTCAGAAGAAAATATTATCGTTGGGAATGTATGTTTATACGGAGCAACATCTGGTCAAGCATTTTTTCGTGGTATTGCAGCTGAACGTTTTTGTGTACGTAATTCTGGTGCTGTAGCAGTTGTTGAAGGAGTGGGTGATCATGGATGTGAGTATATGACAGGTGGTTATGTTGTTATTTTAGGACAGACTGGACGTAATTTTGCTGCTGGTATGAGTGGTGGAATAGCATATGTACTTGATGAGAGTAATACACAAGAGTTTAAGAGTAAATGTAATCTTGAAATGGTTGCATTGGAGACTGTTAACGATTCGGAAGAAATAACTCGTTTACGTGACTTGATACAACAACATCGTCATTATACTGGTTCCGAGTTAGCTGATCGTATATTGAAAAATTTCAATAATTTCTTACCAAAGTTTGTTAAAGTTATGCCATTGGAATACACAAGAGTCTTATTGGAGAAGAAGCAGAAGCAAGAAGCAGAAAAATTAAAAGACCAACAAAGCGTTATTAAAAGTACTGCTGCTGGTAGTAAATCTGTTGAACCTTCGGTCGTTGATATTGAAGATTCTATGGTTGATGAAGAAATTGCCAAGAAAAGACTTGCGAAACTTGATAAAGTTCGTGGTTTTATGAAATATAAAAGAAAAGTCGACAATTATCGTAATCCTCGTAAACGTGTTAAAGATTGGAAAGAGATAAATGCACGTTTAAGTGATGCAGAACTTAAAGTACAAACAGCTCGTTGTATGGATTGTGGTGTACCATTCTGTCAATCTGATTCAGGATGTCCAATTGGTAATATCATACCAAAATGGAATGATCTTGTATTTAAGGATCAATGGAAAGATGCTTTAAATCGTTTATTAATGACTAATAATTTCCCGGAATTTACCGGAAGAGTATGTCCAGCACCTTGTGAAGGAGCATGTGTTTTGGGAATTACAGAGACACCTGTCAGCATCAAATCAATTGAATGTGCAATAATAGATAAAGGTTTTGAATCTGGATGGATTTATCCACAACCACCAGCAATTCGAACAGGGAAAAAAGTAGCAATAATTGGATCAGGACCAGCTGGTTTAGCAGCAGCAGATCAACTTAACAAAGCAGGACATCTCGTTACAATATATGAACGTAATGATAGGTTTGGTGGATTATTGATGTATGGTATACCAAATATGAAACTTGATAAAAAAATAGTACAACGTCGTATAGATCTTTTAGCAGCTGAAGGAATTAAATTTGTGGCCAATGCACATGTAGGAGTTACTGTTGATGCAGATAAGATTCGACGTGAAAATGACGCAATAATAGTGGCTACTGGAGCAACCTGGCCAAGAGATTTAAAACTTATAAATAGAAATTTAGAAAATATAACTTTTGCAATGGAATTTTTAACATTATCATCAAAATCATTGATGGATTCAGACCTTTCAAATGGTCAATATATTAGTGCAAAAGATAAAAATGGTAAAATATTTATTAATGTATTTTATTATATTATATTTCTAATTGAAAAACTTACTAACATTTAAATATATAAAAAATTTTTTCACAACCATTTAATTTGTAGTTATTGTAATAGGTGGTGGCGACACTGGTACAGATTGTATAGCGACATCATTAAGACATGGAGCAAAATCAATAGTAAATTTTGAATTATTACCACAACCACCACCAACAAGAGCACCAGACAATCCATGGCCGACATTTCCACGTACTTTCAAAGTTGATTACGGACATGCAGAATGTCAAGTACATTATGGCAATGATCCAAGGCAGTATAATATATTATCGAAAAGTTTTGTCAGTGATGGTAATGGAAAAGTGGCAGGCATAAATACAATTCGTGTTGAATGGACTAAAGATGCAACAGGACGTTGGAGTATGAAAGAAAAACCAGGATCAGAACAATTCTTCCCAGCAGATCTTGTGTTATTAGCAATGGGATTTTTAGGACCCGAAGAAAAATTAATTAATAGTTTAGGATTGAAAACAGATTCTAGAACCAATATAGAAACTCCAAAAGGAAAATATACTACAGCAGTACCTGGAATTTTTGCTGCAGGTTAATAATAATAATATATATTGTTGTTGTTTATAATTATTGATTTGATTTAATTTAATCTAATTAATATATTCTTAATATATCATAAATATATTAGGTGATTGTCGACGCGGCCAAAGTTTAATAGTGTGGGGTATTAATGAAGGCAGACAAGCAGCCAGAGAAGTTGATCAATATCTTATGGGTGGTGATAGTAAATTACCAATATCAGGTGGTATTCAACATCGTACAATGGAAAATTTATCGCTACCACGAAATATGTTGGTCAAAGTAGAATCTAATTAAATTTATTTATTTGTAATTTTAATTTTATAATATTAATATTAATATAATATAATAATAATATGTGTGTATATGGGTTTTTTTTTATAAATGATGATAATAAAAAATAATTATTTATTAATTAAATCAAAAAAGTTTTCAAAGATTTTGCCATTGTTTTATTGTTTCAATGTTCGAGACATAAAATAAATTAGAAAAACTCCTGACCGTTCAAAATTAGCCAGGTGTCTACCTGATTGACTGTTGAAAAGGTCACGAGAGATCCAAATAATGTGCCTACGCACAAAAGAGCCACGAGAGATCTCGGTAATGTGCCTACACGAAAAAAGCCACGAGATCCCGGGCATGTGTCTACACGATCGACTATGAAAAAAAACCACATGAAATTTCAGAATTGTCAACAACCCCAAGAAATCACAGAATCTTTTCCAAATATTAATATAAACAACAACCCAGAATCTTAAAATGACAGGCATAATGGGGATGTATTTAGAGTCGATCATTGCTAGTAATGGTTACATCTGTTGCATAACTAAATTTTTTTAATTTATTAACATTAAACATCATATATATATATATATATATACACGTAATGAAATTTTAGGGGGTTTTTTTTAAAATCACAAATTAGATGAATAATTTGCAAAAAAACGTTAACAAATTATTCTTTCTTTTGAGCGTAGATTCTAATGTATCTTATATAGGTATTTTTCTGCTTAACTTCTTTCTTAAATAATCCGATCAAATCATCGTACTCTTCCACCGTACAACCCATGCTTTCAGATATTGAGATCCTAGGAGTTTTCCACATTTCAACAATATATTCAATTAATATATCACTAATTTTTCTGTAAGATTTATTAATGATATCATTGGATTTCCTATTTGTTGAATATCCTAATTTATATTCTTTGTATTCTTTTTTGAAATTTATTAATTCATCAGTTTTATAAAATAATTCTTCAAATTTTGTGTAAAATATTGAATTCATTTTTTTAGAATCAAGATATCTATCAACTTGATAATAATAATAATAATAATAATAATTAATAATTAAATAATAAATTAGTTATAAATGTATTATTAACAATAATAATAATAACGACGATGACGATGATGATACTTACATGCTTCTCGTAATCTTTTGCCCACTGGACCTTCTCGATAAAATTTATTTTCATAAAACATTGCTTCTATCCATCCATTTGGTTTACAAACTCTGATCATTTCTTTTAAAACCTTTTCCTCCCAACTTTTTTCGTCATCATCATTTTTATTTATAATGAAATTAACATCTCTAACATAAACCAAATCAAATGTATCCGACTCAAATCTTAAATTATCTGAAATATCTGCTTGTAAAAATGTTGCATTAAATTGTTTAATAGATTTGGGAAATACAAGTCTAGTATCAATGCCAGTAAAGTAATTCCATTGGTTCTCGGTGGCCAATTCAATTATCCAGGCACCGTCACCACATCCTATATCCAAAACTCTTTTGTTATTGTGAGCCCCTAATTCGATCGGTGAAGAGAAATTATTTTTCCATATGTATTTATGAACATGATGTAATTTCTGTGTAATCGATAATTTTCCTTCGTTAATATCATCAGGGAAAATATTTTTCATTTCATCATTAATTATTTCATTGTCGTTGTTGCTGTTGTTGCTGTTGTTGTTGTTGTTGTTGTTGTTGTTATTATTATTATTATTATTATTATTATTATTATTATTATTATTATTATTATT